GTGACTCTCAGGGGGTGTCCCCCCCTTCCCAGACCCCCATTCCCCGCCCCCCCCCGGGCCTGTCCCGCCGGGACGGCCCCGGACCCGCCCCCGCTCGTTCCCGCCGGGCCGGGCCCACCGTGCCCCGCCGGGCCGGGCCCACCGGCGCCGGTACCTTCTTGCCGCCCTTGTTGTAGGCGAAGGCGGGGAGCCCCGAGCGCGGCGGCACCGAGAGCAGCATTTTCCCGAGCGCGAGGGGCCGGGACCGGGCGTGACGTCACACCGGGAGCCAGCCTGGAATCCGGGCGGGCCCCGCCGCGCCGGGTCCTAGCGCCGGTCCCCGCCCGGGGCTGCCCGCGCTGCCCCGCTGCTGCCCGTTCTCCCGCGGTGTCACCCCCGCTGCTGCCCCTTCTGCAGTGTCACCCCCCGGTGCTGCCCCTTCTCTCCCGGTGTCACCCCCGGTGCTGCCCGTTCTTCCCCGGTGTCACCCCCCCGTGCTGCCCCTTCTCTCCCGGTGTCACCCCCGGTGCTGCCCCTTCTGCAGTGTCACCCCCCGGTGCTGCCCGTTCTCCCCCGGTGTCGCCCCCGGTCCTGCCCGTTACCCTCCGGTGTCACCCCCGGTGTCACCCGCGGTCCTGCCCGTTCTCCCCCGGTCCTGCCCGTTCTCCCCCGGTCCTGCCCGTCACCCCCCGGTGTCACCCGCGGTCCTGCCCGTGTTCCCCCGGTGCTGCCCGTTACGCCCCGGTGTAACCCCCCCGGTCCTGCCCGTTCTCCCCCCGGTGTCACCCCCGGTGCTGCCTCTTCTGCAGTGTCACCCCCGGTGCTGCCCGTTCTCCCCCGTGTCACCCCCCCGGTGCTGCCCGTTCTCCTCCAGTGTCGCCCCCGGTGCTGTCCGTTCTCCCCCGGTGCTGCCCGTTCTCCCCCGTTGTCACCCCCAGTCCTGCCCGTTCTGCCCCGGTGTTCCCCGTCCTCCCCTGCCCCCTCCCGGTGCTGCCCCTCGCCGCCCCGCGGTGTCACCCCCCCTCCCCAGTGACCGCCGTCAGCCCCACGACAGCCACGAACCCCCCGGGGGTCTCACCCCCCTCCCACAAATGAGGTCTCCCCCGTGAGACGCCCCCAGACCACCCGGGACACCGGGGCAACACCGGGGCAACACCGGGGCCACACGGGGGGACACAGCGGGGGGGATCCCGCACCCATCCTCTGCCTCAGCGGCCTCAACCGGGAGTGGGGGGGTCGCTCTCACGAATCCCCGTCCCCCCCTCCGCACCGAGGGGCCATCACGGACTCCCCCACTCCGGTACGGCGCGGCTCCTTTAAGTGAAGCCACGCCCACCGCCGCCATTACCCCTTGGCCCCGCCTCCCCGCCCGCACCGTGGGCGCGGCCATTTTGGAGGCGCTAGTCACGTGGTCGGACACCACACCCCGCCCGCCGCCATATTGGCGCCTTTCCTCCGTCACGTGACTACGACAGGCCCCGCCCCTTTCTGAGGAGGCGCTGGGGGCCGCCATCTTAGAGTCGGGAAAGGGGGAATTTGGGGGGCACCTGAGGGGTCTGTGGGGCGAGATTGGGGCTCCTAGCGGGCTCTGGGGGCCTGCAGGGCAGGATTGAGGGGTACCGGGTGTTCTGTAGAGTAGGACGGGAGGGTTCTGGGGGCACCTGGGGGTCTCTGGGGCATCCTGAGGCCACCTGAGTGTCTGTAGGGCAGGACTGGGGGATCCTGAGGGGGGACTTTGGGGCAGGTTGGGGGATCTTGGGGTACATAAGGTAGGATTGGGGGTGCTGGGGGCACTTTGGGGGAGTCTGTGGGGCAGAAAGGGGCACTGGGGGTGCCTGAGGGGGTCTATGGGCAGGATTGTGGGGGGTCATAGGACACCTGGGGGGGCTCTGTGGGGCATCTTGGGGGCACCTGAGCTGTGGAACGGGCCTGGGAGCCACTGGGGGGCTTGTGGGGCAGCTGGAGGGTCTGTAGGGCACATTGGGGGGGATCATAGGGCACCTGGGTGGGGTCTACAAGACAAGACTGGGGGGCTTGGGGACCCCTCTGGGGGTCCCCAGAGGGTCTGTGAGGTGACAGAACCCCAGGGGCTGAACGGGGGTCCCAGGCCTGCTGTGCCCACCCTGGCACGAGCTCAGTCAGGGGGACAGGGATGGCACGGTGGGGAGGGGGCTCAGGGTCTGGGGGACCCCCTCCATTTCACCCCTTGTCCCGCTCGGTGTCCCCCCGAATGTCCCCTCTCTGTGTCCCCCCCGTGACTGGCCACATGTCCCATCACAGTGTCCCCAAGTTGTCCCCACAGTGTCTCCGCTGGGGTGTTCCCCACATGTCCCCCTTTGAGTGCCCCCCAGTTGTTCCTCCCCCCATCTTCCCTCCCCATTGTCCCCCCAGAACCCCCCGCGTGTCCCGGCGCTGGCCCAGCCCTTTGTGGCCGCGGATTGTTCTGGCTTTGCCGGGCTCAGCAGCGCCGGGGCCCCCCCGTGCTGAGCCAGGGCTGACTCACCCCACGTGCGGGGCCGCTGCTGAGCCGGCAGAGCCGCGGCCCGGGGGGGCACCGGGGCCGTTCCCCCCCCACCCGATCCCTCTTACCGCCCCCACGGGGATCGGCACGGTGGGGTCAGCCCCGGCCCCGAGCTTGTCCCGGGGGTGTGACCCCCACCAGGGGCAGCCCTGTCCCCAGTTCTTGTCCCAGGTGTGTGACCCCCCTGGGACAGCCCTGTCCCCTGGTTTGTGTCAGGTGTGTGACCCCCCCCCAGGACAGCCCTGTCCCCAGTTCTTGTCCCAGGTGTGTGACCCCCAGGGATACCCCTGTCCCCAGTTCTTATCCCAGGCGTGTGATCCCCCCAGGGACAGCCCTATCCCCAATTCTTGTCCCGACTGTGTGACCCCCAGGGATACCCCTGTCCCCAGTTCTTATCCCAGGCGTGTGATCCCCCCAGGGACAGCCCTATCCCCAATTCTTGTCCCGACTGTGTGACCCCCAGGGATACCCCTGTCCCCAGTTCTTGTCCCAGGTGTGTGACCCCCAGGTGACCTCCCAGGGACAGCCCTAATTCTTGTCCCAGGTGTGTGACCCATCCTGGTCCCCCTGCCAGGGACAGCCCTGTGCCCATCACAATCCGTGTGTGCCACCCCTCCTGTTGCCCCACCGGGGACCCTGTCACCACTGGTGTGTGGCATTGCCACCCCCCTGCCAGGGCACAGCCCCATGTTCATCTCAGGTGTGTCACCCTGTCCCGTGACCCCCTTGGTGCCCCCAGGACCATGTCCCTGTGCTCATACCGGATGTGTCACCCTGTCCCCTGTGACCCCCACCCGCTCCCCTGTCCCTGTGCTCATCCCAGGTGTGTCACCCTGTCCCCTGCGTGACACCCCCCAGGACCCTGTCCCTGTGCTCATCCCAGGTGTGTCACCCTGTCCCCTGTGTGACACCCCCCAGGACCCTGTCCCTGTGCTCATCCCAGGTGTGTCACCCTGTCCCCTGTGACCCCCTCAGCCCCTCCCTGAGGGTCCCTGTGCTCATCCCAGGTGTTCAACCCCCCCTCATCCCCCCCAGCCTTTCATCCCAGCCTTTCATCTCTGGTTGTCCTGGCAACACCCCAAAGGGTCCCGGGGATTGCCATGGCACCCAGGGATGCTCCAGGCCAAGGACCCCAGCAGCCCCTTCCCAAAATCCTGCCCCACCCTCAGCACCTCAAGTGTACCTTGTGCCAAGGGGGTGGCAGTGCTGGTGGGTGACAGGAAAACGGGGGGGTGACAGGGACAGGGACAGAGGTGGCAGTGCCAGGGGGTAGGAGGTGCCCCCACCCCGGGAGTGCTCTGCGCTGCCCTCTCCCACAGCTGCACCATGGCCATCAGGGAGGTAAGATCCTGTGAGCGGCCCCGATCCCCCCAGCCCCCCCAAAACCACTGCCCCAGAGTCCCTCCCTGCCGGGAGGGGCGGGTGGGTGAGCAGCCCCTAACTCATGGGGACTCCCCAAGCCTGTCACTTCAGTGCCCAGCCCATCGCCCTGGCACAGGGGTCTCTGTGTGCCCCTCACCGTGCTCCTGGCCCTGTCATGGCTGCTGTCCCCCTCTTTGTCCCTGTGACGCCCTGTGGCCCCATTGCCAGGGCATCCTGTCACCACAGTGCCCAGGGACTGGGGGGTCCCATCCCTGAGGTACCCCATCCCCATGGTACCTGGGGCATCCTGTTTCCATGGCACCCCAATGCCCCAGTAACCCCCCAGTGCAGTGCCCAGGTGCTGAGGGGTCCCATTCCTGAGGTGCCCCATCCCAAAAACTGGGGCATCCTGTTACCAGGGCACCCCATCACCAGTGTACCCATCACCAAGGGACCCCCCCCACTGTGGTACCCAGGTGCTGGGGGGGTGTCCCCTCATGAAAGTCCCCCCTCACCCTGATACCCAACCATTGGGGCATCCTGTTGCCATGGCACCCCATCCCTGGGCACCCCACCCCTGAGATACCCCATCCCCAAAGCCCCCCAGCCCCCATGTCATCCCCTCTCTGTGCCACCCACTCCTGGCAGTGCCCGTGGGGTGACCCCCGGCCCCGTTGTCCCCCCAGGAGCTGCGCAGCGGCCGCTTCTGGCGGGAGGTTCTGGCGGAGCTGGCGGCGACCCTCATCTTCGTGGGAGTGGTCCTGGGGGCTTCGGCAGCCCCGGAGCCGCTGGCACCGGCCCTGGCAGGGGGGTTGGTGGCCGGGGGGCTCGTCTGCACCCTCGGGGGGCCCCAGGCCAACCCCGCGCTGACGCTGGCCCTGCTGTGCACCCGCAAGCTGAGCGCCCTGCGCGGGGCCGCGGGGGTCCTGGCCCAGTGCGCGGGGGCCACGCTGGCCTCTGCTGCTGCCCGTGCAGCGCTGCAGGACGACACCGGCCTGGTCACCAGGGTGAGTGCCCCCGTCCCTGTCCCTGTCCCCATCCCCTGGCACTGCACAGGTGTCCCTCCCTGCTGCAGGTGAGCGCGGTGGGGACAGCGGGGACAGCGCTGGCCTGGGAGACATTCGCCACCTTCCAGCTGGCGCTGGCCGCCTTCGCCGCCGCTGAGCACGCGGCCCCGCAGGCCGGGCTGGCCCTGGGCAGCGCCGTGGCCGCCGGGGCCCTGGCTGCAGTAAGGACCCCCCGTGTCCCACCCACCCAGGGGGTCCCCACCCCATCACCCCTGACCCCCCGTGTCCCACAGGGGCCGTTCTCGGGGGGCAGCATGAACCCCGCGCGCTCGCTGGGGCCGGCCATCGTCACCGGTGTCTGGGATGATCAGTGGGTGAGTTGGGGGCACCCTTGGGCTCCCTAAGAGTCCCCAAGTAAGGGGGGGTCCCCCGGCTGCAGCGTGTGACCGCTGTGGTCCCATCCCCACCCCAGGATAGCGGTTCCTGGTCTTCTCTTGGGTGGATCCCACTGGGACAGGTCAACACCAATTGTGTCCCCCAGGGTCCTCCTCATGGTGTCACCATCACAGGACCGATGTGTCCCCCCTATTGCCATCCTTGGGAGAGGCCCCATCCCATCGGGATTGGCCCCCTACCCCAAACAAGTGACACCCCCTCCCCATGGCTGCCCTCACCCCTGGGGCAGGTTCCTCTGCTCAGTCCCCACACCTGGGGTGGGCGGTGCTGGGCGCGGTGCTGGCCGGGCTCTCCTACGAGTTCATCCTGGCTCCCGGAGCATCCCGGGAGAAGCTGAGCGCCTGCCTCGCCTGCCGGGACGTGGCTCTGGTGGAGACCCCCAGCCTGTCCCCCTCCTCGGTGGCCCCCCCAGCCGAGCAGGGCACTGCCTGAGCCCCCCCCGCTCCACCGCAGCCCCCCGATCCTCCACACCCTGACACCGGATCCTCGCCGCCTCCAGCACCTTCCGTGGGGCACCCACAGCATGGGGGGCTTCATGCCCCCTCCCCTTTTACTGTCCTCTCCCCCGTGGCGGGGATTAAAGGTGTGTTGGCGTCGCAGGTGGGTGCAGAGCGATGCTGTGAAGGGACTGGGGGGGTCTCGACCACCTCCCCGCGCCCTCGGTGTGCGGCGGCACTGCCACACCGGGGCTGCGGGCGGGTGCGCCCTCCCCGCGGCCCCCCGGCGAGGGCGGGGGCCGGGACCCCCGTCAGCCCGTCCCGTGCCGGGGAGCTGAGCGCAGCAAAGCCCTTTGTGGTGGCCTCTGCAGCCCCGGCAGATTCCGGCGGGCGCCAATGGCCGGGCCGAGCCCTAATCCCCCCGGCCGGGGACTCAGCGCCCGCTAAGCCGGGCTGAATAAACCCTCCCGCAGACAACAGCACCGGGGGGGGGGCACCCCGCGGCCCCCAGCGGGGCCCACCCCGCGCCCCTCCCGCGGGATGGGGGCGGCTCCCAGCGGGGGTTGCCCCAAAGTGTCCCCAAAACATTTGGGAGGGGGTGGGAGGTGTGTCAGTGGGGTCCCCTAAACCCAACTGAGGGCACCAATGGGTCACAGCCCCCCCCTCCCCAGGAAACCCCAGGGATGGGGGCGGCGCAGCTCTGGGGGGTCCCCCACTATCGGGAGGTGCCCGGGGGGGCTCGGCTAGGGGGGGTTCCTCGCCGCGTGTCACCTGTCCCGTGCCCCGGGCAGCGAAGCGGTTAACGGGGGGTGGCGGAGGTGGGATCCCACCCCCGGGGCCGGCCCGGGGGGGCCTTATAAAGGTGGGCACGGGCGGCCCCCGGGGAGGGGAGCGGGGCCGTGGAGGGCAGCGGGGCCAGGCCATGCGGGAGCTGCGCTCGTCCGCCTTCTGGAGGGCCGTCCTGGCCGAGTTCCTGGGCAGCCTCCTCTATGCCCTGCTGGGGCTGGGGGCTTCCCTGCGCTGGGCCCCGGGCCCCCCCAGCGTTGTGGGGGCCGCCTTGGCCTTCGGGTTGGCCCAGACCACCCTGGTGCAGGCTCTGGGCCATGTCAGCGGGGGTCACGTCAACCCGGCCATCACGCTGGCCTTCCTGATGGCCTCGCAGCTCTCCCTGCCCCGTGCCCTGGGCTACCTGCTGGCCCAGGTGTTGGGCATGCTGGCCGGAGCCGGGGTGCTCTACGGGGTGACCCCCGGCCCCGTCCGTGGCACCCTCGGCCTCAGCGCGGTGAGCACCGGGGGGATCGGGGGGCTGGGGGGTGTCTGCAGGGCTGGGGGGGGTCCAGGAGGTGGTTTGGGGTACCATGGGGCTGAAATGGGGGGATGAGGGGTTCGAAGAGGTTTGGGGGAGTTGGGGGGATCCAGGAGGTGTTTTGGGGTAATTGGGGGGTCCAGGAGGTGTTTTGGGGTACCACGGGGTTGCAGTGGGGGGATGAGGGGTTCAGCGGTGTTTGAGGGGTCTGATGATGGATCAGGGTGGGTCCAGAAGATGTTTTGGGGTTTGGATTGATGTGGGTCAGCAATGGGGGCTGGGCATCCTGGAGGAATTTGAGGATGAGGAAGAGTTTGTAGTACAGTGGGATTCTGGGGTGTGGAAGGATAACGAAGGAGGATTTGGGGTGCTGAGGGAGAATGCGGGAACCTCTCCCCGCGCAGCTGCACCCCGGCGTGGGCCCGGGCCAGGGCACGGTGGTGGAGCTGCTCCTGACCGCCCAGTTCGTCCTCTGCGTCTTCGCCAGCTTCGACGACCGTCAAGACGGGCGCCCGGCCATGGCCGCCGTGCCCGTCGGCTTCTCCCTCGCCCTCGGCCACCTCTTCGGGGTAAGGGCGGCCGCGGAGACCCCCGTGCTGGGAGCGCGGGGGCTGGGAAGGGGCTGGGGGGCAGCTGTCCAGCCCCCCACTGCTCCATCCCCCCGCAGATCCACTACACGGGCGCCAGCATGAACCCCGCTCGCTCCTTCGCCCCCGCCGTCATCACCCGCAACTTTGCCAACCACTGGGTAAGTGGGGGGGGGACGGGGACCCCCAAACCCGCCCCGGGCCCCCCCAGTCCCTCCCTGCTTATCCCTGTCCTGCCGCAGCCGCTGTGTCCCCGCTGAAGGCGGGCGGCTGCCGGTGTCACCCCGGTGACAGCAGCACCCCAAGGTGCTGGGTACCCCCCGACATCCCGGGGAGCGGGAGACGGGTCCTGCCCCCCGATATCCCGGGGATGGGGACACGCGGCCGTCCCCCGCTTACCGGGAGGCCCCGACTGGGCCGGTGCCCGGGCATCAGCGGGGTGGGTGCCGTGCCCCGGAGGGCGGGGGGCCGGGGGTCCCCCGGTGCCGGTGCCCACGCCGCCCCCCCGCAGGTGTACTGGGCGGGCCCGCTGCTGGGCGCGGCGCTGGGCGCGGTGCTCTACGAGTTCGCGCTGTGCCCGCGGCCCCGCAGCCTGGCCGAGCGCCTGGCCGCCCTCAAGGGAGAGCCGCCCGCCCCCACCGCCGTCACCGCCGCCGTCGCCGCCGCCGAGCCGCCGCCCGAGCCGCCGGCAGAGCCGCTGGAGCTGAAGACGCAGGGGCTGTAACGGGGCCCGNCGGCTACCGGGCTGCCCGGGGGTCGCCCGTACCGGGCCGGGGCCGCCCCGCCCCGCCGCGGCGGGACTTCTGTGTTCGGTGAATTAAACCTGCTCTTTTATTTTGGTAACCGCTCGCGGCCGTGCCCGGCGCCGGGAACCGGGAGGGACCGAGGATGGGGGGGACACCGGAGCCCGCCCGGCGGGTGGCGGGAGGTGCCGCCCGTTCCCGCGCCCGGGGCAGGCCCCGCCCAGCCAGCGCCGTTCTTAAAAGGGCAACGCCACCACCGCGTCCCTTCCCCGCAATGAGTCCCTCCCGTCTTCCACCCCTCAGAGCCGCGGGCCGGGGGGCGAGGGCAGGGGGATTGGGGGCACCCCGAGGCACCGAGCCGCCGATTTGTGCCCGTGGTGGATGGCGGGGGGCGTGCGGACGGGATTCCCTTTGGAGT